CTCTGGTCCGCACTCTGACCATAGCATATCGATCGATACTAACAGGCCAGTGAGCGCGCGCGCACGTTTGCTCATCCATTAACATCGCAGTTTTCTGCACTTTTCTTCGTTTCACTTCCTTAACGTTATGAATACAGACCTGAATGTAAGAAGCTCGAGGCTCGTGTTTTTCTCTACTCGTTGAAGTTCCACGTTCACCACCATTTGTAGGTTACAATGGACAACGGATGCCAATAACAGGTCATATTGCTGTTCAGTGTACAGTGCGGATTTCACAATCTCGTTGTGAGCTTAATTTGCGGCCAATCAACGTCCCCGCCCCTCCCTATGGTGACTCAGAGTATTCCTGATTCGAGTACTTCGTTCCCGTTGTGATTATCCTCGGCTTTGCTCGGCTTCTCGTGGTTCGAACACAAACTGTCTTACATTTCATGGTGGTAATGTCTCAGTGAAGAGTTCTACTTGTCGTCTTCAGTTTTCACAATCACTTTCTAAGTTCCCAGTACAAGTTAATGTGCGATGATAAACCTTTATGTGACCCGTGCTCTATTCATAACACCCATGCGCTCCATTGTTCTCGTCGCGTTGGGGCAGGTCACATGACATCATTCGTTTCATCCACGGGAGGAATTTGGTGTCATCATCGGCTCCATGTGGGCTCCCAAGGTAGCGGCCAATATATCCCTCCTTGATGGGGTCATGTTATCAGGTTTATTTGGGTCGGATGTTTAGTGGAAGCGCGAGTCTGGTACGACCATAGTTCTCGCTTATTCATCGTCAGTTGATCGAGTAAAGAAAGGCGCGTTCATCTTGTTGTTCATTCGTTCGTCGTTTTTCTCCATCTCAGCGAAGGAGCACCTGATTTCGTTCGAATCGCCGTTTACGCCCTTCCTCATCCATAACTTCAATTCTCCATCGTAACTCCATACTCTTTAAATGTTATGTGTTCGGTTCATGATGATTTTATGTTCTGTATCCCTATCTATCCAGTGTTTTCAGAGTCATGCGGTAGCTCGTGTTATCAGGATGAGCGCCATTGTTTCGCTGTTGGGAAGGTTGCAAGGGATGATGCAGAGCTCAGGGGTGAGGTTTACTGGGTCTTTTAGAAATATATTTATAAAAGTAGTTCGTACATTTGCTCATTACTAACTAATTATAGCGTATTATTTTTTTTTCCATTGCCTCTGAATCACATGTTTCTCGAAATGTATTCCTGTCATTGTCTCAGTGCTTTATTGTTTTGCTATCCGATTACTAAAGTAAAAATTGCCTAGTGATTGCCCCTAGGCTTGTTTACGAAGGTAAGTTCTGTTCTTCAGAACCATGAACAAGTAGCATGGTAGTCAAGACGACTAGATTTAGCACACGTTAGTAAACGCTATTTTTTGAACCGGTGGAATCTCCTAATTATTTTGATTTCATCATAGGCTAGACTAAGATGCACTTATTCGGAATCAAATTATTCTAGCTATGCAGCTCATAGGGTGCGTGTAGCGCATTGGTCGGAGGTGCCCTGCAGTAGTCATGGAATCGATCCCCGCGCCCAGGCTCACCAAGCCTTCCATCCTTCCGGGTCGGAAGATGAGTACCAGACTTGTCTGAGAGGATACCAGCACTGGCTCGATACATCCATAGGCCACCGCGAATCATTATAAAGGAAGGATATGCATTCAATTACCTCCAACGATGCTTAATGAAGTCGAATGCATGGCTCATCCCTCAAGGATTGATCAACACCGTGAGGTTTATGTTTTTTATCCTTTATGCGACCCATGCAGTATACCGGAAGAGGTTCCCTTCGTGTTCTTGTATTGCCGTTGTAATATTTCCTCGTTTTCTGCACATTGCGATGTCTATTGATGCGTACCTCGATACAGGATTATACTTCGATCCAACATAAAATAACTACCAATTAACGGAAGAGATTCCATAGCTCTGAAAAGGAACGGTAAAAGAAACAATAAGTCCTGGAAATAGAGGAGCAGCAATACTAACGGAAGCTGCGGAAGATATGAAGAGTATTCGCAGCTCCTCCCTAAGCTTCACATTACGCAGTGGTCGACCTCCAATGTCAAAGTACAGTGCTCGTTTGTTCTAGTAAGGTGCTGGAACAGGTTATCAACAAATTCTACATTGATTGTGCGAAACCTATGTCTACTTGTTATGGAGGCTGAATACGTCATTCCATTGATGTTGACTTCGAAATTTCACCATTCACTTTCGTTGATAAAAAAAATCATACAGTACCCGTCGTCGGTAGCATCAGTGCCCAGGGTGAGCTTACCAGTTCTCATCAATACGTTGGTCCAGTTTTATACATGCTGTATATCAGAATGCTGCTTCATAGTTGATCGTAGAAAAATAGGGATTGTGTTGAAGAAGATAGATACCATCCGTATTTACTGCACAATATCTTTCTTTCTGTTCTTGATAACCTCTTCACGTTAGCCTCATCAAGATCGACAAAATATTCAGAAAATCTCAGCCGTGAGAGCGGCTGAGGTTTCGAAAATAGTTTAGCATTGTGTCATATTCAGATGGTTGGAAAACCTCTTTAGTTGTCATTAGAGTAAGAAATGTCATGTCCTAATTTCATCGACTTAAATAGGCTTTTGAATTAGCTGAATGATGTTTCTGCCCAGTGTAGAAGAGTTCGGGAAACTTAGGGTAGGATCACATAAGGTTGAGACTGGTTAGCCTACAGCCATGTCATTTTCTTCTTGTTAATGACCTCGTTTCTATAAAACATCGCACGTTATCCCAACGAATGTTGGAAGATTTCGACAGTACCTGCAGAGAAATCGATCTTTTGTAGCACTTCCAGAAAATGATGTTCTTGATAAACTGTTAAAAAGTGATTACATATCACGCAATCGAGAAGAATCCTGAAGTTCCCACCCATATCGATGATCGAAGATCAGATATGCTGTGGGAACACCAAAATATCGAAAATCAGTTGGTCAGGACATGTGATGCATCTTATCGTCAACTAGTGAACAGGAGCCATTATCGTCTGGTTTCCACGTAGTGTGAAGGATGTGTCGGAAGGACCACCAACGCGGTAGTCTTCTTTACTTTTTTGTGGAGATTCTAAAAGAAAAGTCTGATGTCCTTTGAGTCCTCAGAGTAAGTACAACCAATAGGCTAATCTTACAAGCAATATGGACAAATGGAAGCTTCATATGCAGCCATGCGACTTGTTCAACGTGGGGATTGCTGTTTTAGCTGTGTAAACTAGGGAACATCCAATGTGTTACCATCGTTCTGTGACGAATGATTCCTAGTTAATGATTTATATACAGTTACGTTATGAAGAAATATCACATTATTAACCTTCTTGAATAATCTATTGTCAGTTCTCGCAGTTTCTTTTGCAAAATGTTTTTTTTACTCAAAGTCCAATATATGTTTACTTCTTCAAAAATACTTCATAGAAAGTTGAAGTCCTAATTCTGATAGCGATCCACTCTTGCTAATGGGTTTTGCGGTGGTTTCCTTTTCGGAAATACGAATTCATCTCTAATTCTTCACTGTAGAAATTGTTTGCTGTCGCATTACGTGCGAGTGTTTCTGTCAACTAGTAGTAGTGGAAAGATCTGATTATGTTAGGAATTTCTTCATGTGATGTTTATGGAATTGGAGACATAGGAATTTATTATTATTACACTGTGTTACCATTTCAGGTGCGATACATTCAGAGTAGTGACTCCTTTACTCCTGCGACATCATCCCTGCCGCTGAGTAATCATGCAAGTTTTCTCTACCATTTTAAACATCATGATTTTTCCAAGACCTACTAGTGGTTTAGAATTCATTTTCTTTTGGTCTTTGAGCATTTTTATGGCCCATCTTCATTTTCCAATTCTTTATATTTTGTCTTAAGTTCATTAGTTTGCTAAACTATCGGCGCATCTGCGGTTACTACAGTATCCTACTACTTAAAGTTTAGCTTGTTAATTCCATTCACGAGTTGTAGTACAAATGTTGGCAATAAAAGCCTAACAAATCTTCGCCTACGGTGAATTTGAACCTAATCGTGTGGGAATAAGTACACTTTATTATTGTTGGCGAATATGTATAGATTTAAATGGTTTCTGTCCCGGTTATAAAGTCTACTATGAGCCAAGATATGTTTGTTTAAGGTCGAATATCTGACTTCGTTCATGTTATCTTGGTTATATTAAGATAGCCTATTCGTTTGCTCAGAATATACTGAAGAGCTAAAGTGAACAGTCTGGCCACAGTGGTGCATGCAGTCGCTAAAAATGAACAAAAACGTTACAGTATGAGTCATACGAGGCCGGAAACAACATGACCTTTCAATTTTAAACAAACAGATCTCGGCTTATAGTTGAACTCATTTACTTGAAGTAAACGTTCGGATCTACGCACCTCTTTCACAAAAGTGGGGTTTTCTTAATTGGCCAGGACCAAATTCTGATTTTCTGGTGTCCACATACCTCTTTTTTGTTTCCTTTTCCGCTAACTAGTTTATATCTTGAATAGCGAAACGGCCGAACAATGGGACTTGGCACCGAAAAATGCAATTGTATCAATGAATAAACTTCTGCCGTTGCTGCATACACGTTAGAAGTCGGAAAAATTGTCTCACTAGGATTTTTTAAAAGTTAAATCTAAAATTTTCGAATAGAAATTGAGTCTAATATGTTCTATTTGCTTTCACTGCGACGGCGTAAAGTTTCTTCTTAAAGCTTTATAGTCCTTATATCCCCAAATACTCTATTGACTGGCAATCAGAATGTTTCAGAAGATCAGCGCAGTTATTGGTGTATTGAAAACGATCAGGATTTTAAAAAAAAATTATAAAGCGATGCTGAATTCTTGAAGTCATAGTGAAAGGTCGTTTCTCTAAGTCTGTCAGGTTCTCGACTTCGCAAATGCTTTGGTTGTTGAAAAACTTACCGGCAGTTATCAAAAAAGCAGCATTTTGCCATTGTGTTAAAATGCACAAAAACATTTAAATCTAAGCGCGTCATCCAATGTTTGCTTATATTCATAGATTTTGTAGCGCAGTTGTTGCAGGCTCTGCAATACCCGTGGGACCGATCCTCGTGCTGAGGGATTGATCAACACCGAGAGCTTTATCTTTTTTATTTTTTCATAGATTTTTATGAGTAATTAGGAAAAACGCCAGCCCAGTTGGCCAGTATTCTTTCCATTATCTTGTTCTCCTATATTTCTCGAGTTAATTGCCTATGTTATTGGAAATTCACTCCAGTGATCTTTGCAACTGGTATGTGGCCAGAAGTGTTCCATTGTTCCTAAAGTAGTTGGTATCATCGATGTTTATAATTTTTAACTTATAATACAATACAACTATTTTTACATAGTTGCTGGTTAAGCTTGAAACATTTACTCAGTTCGTGCTTAATTTCTAGTTCTTCCTCTGTACAAACACATAAGTTTATATTTTTTGCAGCTCTCTAGAGTTTATATTTTTTGTAGGCTATTTTGTAGTGTTACGGGCGTGTGGCGCAGTGATTGGAGGCGCTACTGCAACACACACGTGGAATCACTCCCTGCGTCCATGGCCCACCAAGCCTTCCATCTCTCCGGGGTCGGCGAATTGGTACCAGACTTGTCTGGGAGGATAGCAGCACTGGTTCGATACATCAGTAGGCCACCGCGAATCATTTTAAAGGCCAGATGTGCATTCAGTCACCTCCAACAATACTTAATGAAGTCGAATGGATGGCGCATCCCTCAGGAATTGATCTACGCCTAGATTTTTTTATCCTTTTTATTTTGTAGTGTTATGCAAGAAAAATAGGTAGGAAACGCAAATATGACGTTCTTTCTTTATTTCACTTTGGTCCACCATTCATGCTTTATTTGTTAATCTAGTGTTTTCTTTTTTTCAATTAACAGTCACTCAGTGTATATTTCATCACTCATAATCACTTTTTATTGGTGATGGAGGTTTTTAAGGATCGTCGGATGTTATGCAAGACGTTCAAATTGATGGATGATGTCGTAAAGGCATGTCAGAACCATCGCTTGAATCTCAAGAATTCCCCTCCGTTTATACTCGACATTTTGCCCGACACATACACTCAGGTATGCCGGGTGCCAGATATGTCCCTCTACTTGAATACTTCTATGTTAATTTCTTTCAGCTGGTTTTTATATTCACTCAAAATCACGTTATTTTACGAGACAACTATTATATTCAAGTGTTTTTGGAGAACATGCAGCAGAAGTGCAAACAGGTATGTCTTTGTTGTTTTTCATTGTTTTACTCTGCTTTCTAGTTTCTCGTATTTTATTCCACAGTAGTACCAGTACTCCTCCCAACGGTTTACCGCCTCATCGTGGCTGGAGGTGTTCCTGGGTGTCGGACTGCGATGTACAGGAGAGGGATTCGTCCCTCCGGCATAGTCATCCAAGCTGAGAAGGAGTCCTGCGTTTCCATCAGGAAGCCTAGCTAAGAGTAAACCAATACCAGGTTCAACCACCATGCTGGTAAGAAAGTCGCATGTTGGCAAATCTCCCTCTGATCCACAGGGGCTGTGACTTCCCGTTGTGGTGAAGACCTGCTGGGGCAGACTTTGGCCAGGCTGACCTCGGGATTCCAGGGAACCACAATGGCTTAACCAGTAAATCTTCGATAAATGGTGATTATGCTGGGGCCCGCGCAACCAGTGAGGAAGGCCCGTTCAAGTGTCAAGTACCAGTACTATGGTTCTTAGGGTCTGTAGAACCATGTTAACTTTTGCTATTCTGCAACGAAGTTGTTCGAAGCTACGACTTTACAAAGTTACGTTTTCATTTTCTGCTTATTACAATTTTTCACGACAGGGTATTATGTGACATACAACCATAATGATGCTGAGATATTTGCAAAACTCTTGATCTCAGGTGTCTGCTGTGAGGATTGTATACGCTATTACCGTTTCCGAGGGTTAACGCGTTCTCCACCACACCATGTGGGTCCTTCATTTCGCCTATTTGTCAGCTGGTTTTCTATCTACCAGCCATCATCGGAATTAATCTGTGGAACGCAAAGCGGCATTGAGCCCTGCTAAGCTGGGGTTATAGTTGACTGGTGATTGCTGATGGCTGGTAGATAGGAAACTAACTGAGAATCAGGCGAAACTAAGGACCCGCATGGTGTGTCGGTGAACGCGTTACCCCTCGGAAAGGGTAATAGCGCATACGCTCTCCACCGCAGACGCCTGATGTCTGGAGTTTTGCATATATCTCAGCATCGTTATGGCTATAACGTTACATATTTCTGTTTTTTAGAAAACTGATATTAAGACATTACTGCCTTACTTTTCTGCTTTTCTGGAGTTTCGAAGTTATCTAAAGTGTGAAGAAATCACTTGTAAGTTTCCAGTAGGGTCTAGTAGTTTGTAGACAAATAGTATTCATTGCGGCAGGTTTTTCATTTGGTTCCCCTTTGCCACTCCATTGTTGCTGCACTGTGTCCTTTATAGTGGTATTCCTGTTTCAATTCGTTATTACGACTCTGATTGTAAAGCACTTAACCCAAAAATCACGTGTAATTCTTGGCGCCTTATTAGCTTTGAATAGTACTGTTAAGCCCATAACACCCGAAATGGACACTACGGTATCCATTTTCAGCTCAATGGATCTTAAAAGTTTTCTACCACGCTGTGTATATTCATTAGATAGGTAAACGAAAGCATATCAAAGCAGGAGGGTTGAGAGCGGAAAAGCTATTCTCTTCACGGGATGATTTGTAGAAAACCTTTTACGGAAGAGCTCACTGACTGCTAATTTGACTGATAGATAACTGTTATTTTTTCATTTCACTCACTGTGTCCACATTCATGCCATTCATGTCCATAGAACGATAGCGCAAAATCACTTCTACAGTTCCTTCGTATTTACAACTCCTAAATCCTTCTAGTTGTTGGAAATTTTTTTTTATTCTTAAAAGCCCAGCAAGTACGCAGCTTACGAAAATTGATCGTATTCAAATGGGCTTGTCACGTTAGATGTCGCACGTCCATTATGGATTAATAACGTTATTTTTCGCTGGGTAGAGATGATCTACAACACACGTGGGTTCCATCTCCACCTCAGGCTCCCCAAGCTTTCCATTCCTCCTGGGTTGACAAGTTGGTACCAGACTTATTTGGGAGGATACCAGCACTGGCTCAATACATCGGTAGGCCACCGCGAGTCGTTGTAAAGGACAGGTATGCATTCAATCACCTCAAATGATGCTTAATGAAGTGGAATGCATGGTGCATCCCTCAGACATTGACCAACGTCCAGTAGCTTTGTCCATTTTATCCTTTTAATATTATTTCGAACAACACTGTTTCTGCTCGCTGTCCGTACGAAATTGCACTGTGCTTTGCAATGTCTTTCTCAGAGGTCTCGTTATATAAGCTGAGAAGAGAACTAGTAGTGAAATGTTGCCGTCGATTCTAGTATTCCCATAAAGGTGGCGTTCGCGGGTGTCTGAGTATGTGAGAACTAGTGGTTTCAGTTATTGAAGAGTTATTAACGGGGGTGTTCATTTGTGGAAAGACGACGTTACTATGCTGCTGGTTACGCTCCCCAGAGCGATCCCGGTGACGGGTGATTGCCGATAGCAGGTCGAGGTAGAAAACTAGCTGAGAGGAACGCAGAGCAGAGCCTCCGTGGTACAGTGTGTAACCCGAGCACCCCGCAAAAGGTAATTGTGGTTCGTTCTGTCCTGGGGTCCAGGTTTTGCGAATATCTCAGCATCGTTTTGGTTTGTTTCGCACAATACCTTGCCGTGAAAGTTGTGGTAGGCAGTAAATAAAGAAGTAAGCATTGTGATTGCAACATTACTAGTTATTACTTGTTTAGGTTGTTTTGATGTTATTAAGTCTTATGGAATTGCCAATTGTTTATAATTTTTCGTTCTTCAATTAATTTGATAAACCTTTAGTAATCTTCCGTAAAGCCTAACAAAACTCCTTAAGTATTATTCGATATTATATTTGGTTAGTGTTGTGTAAAAATGAACTGTAATGGGTACCATATACGAAGCATTTTTTTTGTTGCATCAACTGTTGAGTGTCCACTTGTTTTTATTTGTAGTACATAATGTTTGTAAATGTGAAGGACACATGTTGCCTTGTGGTCGGAGGCGATCTGCAACACATAGGGGATCGATTCCTGTGCACTGACCCAACAAGCCCTCCATCCCTGTCTGGGAGGATAGCAGCACTGGCTCGATACATCGGTACACCTCGATTTATTATAAAGACCAGATATGCATGCAGCCACCTCAAACGGTGGTTAATGAGGTCTAATGCATGGCTCATCTCTCAGAGATTGATTAACGCCGAGAGCTTTATCCTTTTAGCTTTAGATAATATATAATTCTATGCAAGCTTCGTACGCAGTTATTTCTTTTTCTAAGGTACGGAAGAAACTGCTTTGTTATTCAGTCTTAACTGGAATTTATAATGAGTGCAGTAATAATGCTGGTTTCACAGATTTGCACCATCTGTAGTGTTTCGACATTCGTTGTGAAATTCGCCGTGACCAGGGTGGTTGAACTATTTGGAAGAGTTCTTGAGGACTGTTTTCTTCGTTTCAGGTGCTGAAATTATTTAAAACGAATTCTATTTTCGAGGAACAATCACAGGAACGAAGAACACTGACGAAACTTTCGCTCATATTCTCTCATATGCTTTTCGAACTGAAAGCTGAATTTCCTGATGGGACATTCATAGGTTTCTTATTTTTCTGTTGTGTATGTTTTAACTGGTTGTAAATCCCATTGTCTCGAAGAGGTCTGTAGAACCAACCGAAAGTCCATGCCTTGCCTAATAATTTAAAGAGTCATCCGTGGCGTTAGACTAGTTTTAGCAGCCGCACTTGTATGGGCCATATATTGTCTTAACTGTTTTCTCCTAGGTGATCGGTTTCGGATAACGAAACGGGAAGCAGAAGAATTTTGGCACAACAATTTTCACAATAGGTTAGTTCCATGTTGTGTCAGGGCGCTTATAATGGTTGCATGGCCCATTTAGTCTCGGAATAGCAACTTTAATGAGTTTCACACTTTCTAGTTGCTTCATTATCATTTGTTTATCTTGCTCTTTTAACCTTGGCAATAGTTTTCCCTCTTTTTCCACTTTCATTGCTTGGTGTCGTATGTATTAGAGATGCTTGTGGCTTAGGAAGCGTGTTTATCTGTCACAGACATACTGTATACAAGCTAAAAATCTTTCAGGACATGTGTTCCATGGAATGAGTTCGTGGTAGCTATTGAAAAAACGCAACCGAACTCTAAACTCAGGCTCTCAGCCCTCAAGAATACCGTTGATCTAACTGGAAACGATCATGTGTCAAACTTTGAATTTGATGTTTTCACCAGGCCTGTTTTCGATGTCCTGCATGTGTAGTTGTCAGTTTAATTCTGAGTTATCTATGGCTTTTAACATTTCAGATTGTTTTATCCATGGAAAACTCTTCTTCGCAACTGGCAACTATTAACCGCTGCTCATCCCGGTTATGTCGCTTTCCTTACTTATGATGAGGTTAAAAAGAAATTGGAAAAACTAGTGGATAAGCCTGGAAGGTTAGCGTAATTTCTTCTCCAATATTCAGTTATGGTTGTCTGGTGGTATATTTGCCTTCAATCCTTTTTTGTATTCTTATAGATCAAAATTAAGTTTTCATTGTTTTGTTTGAGTACTGTTTCATATAGATTTATGTGTGTTTTATTCAAGTTATGTCTTTCGACTATCGTGCACCCGTCCTGGGCAGTGGGCGATAGGATATGTTGCTCCAGACGGAAAAATATTCCAAACTATTCCACAAAATAAATCTCTTATTCAAGCCCTTCATGAGGGTGGAAAAGAAGGATTGTAAGTACACACTGTTTAATATAACTCAGCAGCACATAATTTTATCGGTACGTCATTTTTCTTACAGCTACTTATATCCTAATGGTAATCCAAAGGATATCGACTTAAGCACAATTATAGAAGCTCCTCCAGCGGATCGAGTAAAGGTTATTTTTTTAGCTTATATCTCTCCTACAGGGTATGCAGTGGTCGGAGGCGTCCTGCGATACACATGGGATCGATACCTGTGCTCCAAGCTTACCAAGTCCTCCATCTCTCCTCGGGTTGGCAAATTGGTATCAAACTTCATTGAATGATAGCGTCACTGAGTGGATACATCGGTAGCCCTCCGTAGTTCATTGTATAGGCCAGATATGCATTCACTCGCCTCCAACGTTGCTTAGTTAAGTCGAATACGTGACACATCCGTAAGGGATTGATCAACGCCGAGAGCTTTATCCTTTTGTCTCTTAAACAATCTCGTTTTTAATGTAATGCATTTGGTTCATTATAGCTTAGGATTTTCAGGTAACAAGTGAGCAATATGATTTGTACTGTGAAATGGGCACAACTTTCGAATTATGCAAGATATGTGATGACAACGATAAAAATGTGAAGATAGAACCATGTGGCCATCTTTTATGTACACCGTGTCTGACGAGTTGGCAGGTGAACGCAGTGGCTACCGTTAATGTAGCTTTTATGCAAATACGATAGACACAAGCTTTTCTTCATGCGGTTCTACTAACAACCAGTTTGATCCGCTGTTGAGAAGTTATTACTCTTCTTTTGTTACACCAGTAGTAATGTAAACTACGAAAATTTATAAGTAGTTGTCGTGCCAAACACAAACTAAATTCTTCAGGAATCTGAAGGAGGTAACACGTGTCCATTCTGTCGTTACGAAATAAAAGGCACCAATAAAGTCATAATTGATCGCTACAAACCTAGTCCGAGGGATAAACAAAAGGACGTCGTGAAACCTCGAAAGCAATCTAATGTTGGTTTTGGTGTGCTGTTTATATTTTAAGAATAATTTTCCATGCACATGCAAGAATTACTCACTTTTTAATATCAATATATTTTTGAGTTATCCATGTTGAACAAGGGCGCGTGGGACGCAGTGCTCGGAGGCGCATATGGGATCGATCCTCGCGCTCCTAACCTACCAAGCCTTCCATCGCTCCGGGGTCGGAAAATTGTTACCAGCCTTGTCTGGGAGGATAGCAACACTGGTTCGATACATCGGCAGGCCACCGCGAGTCACTGTAAAGGCCAAAAATGCACCCATTCCTTCGGAGTCAGAATCTGTTTCCAAACTTTTTTATTCTTATTGCATTTCAGTTACCAATTAAAATCTATTTGCTTCAACAAGTAGTTCTTCAGACAGCATCGGGTACAGCATTGGCAAACAATAATGCTCAGCTGATGGGATTGCCCATAGGGCCTCCACCACCACTTCCTCCGAGACCATTCGGCATTCTTGCTCAAGCAAACTACTTGGTGAATTTTTACCAAAATCTCTGTGGTTAAGTTTTGTGTTTTCTTGAGGATGCGCTTCGGTGAAGTTCTTGTCATCAATTTCATTGCTTTACTTTCTTATGGAGCAGAAAGACTGTCCAGCATTCAAATATTGGTTGCATCCTCAAAACCGTTTTGGTTTTAAAAAAAAGCTTCATTGTTCAACCTACGAGAGCTTTTATCTAGCCATTTTCGGTGACAGAGACGTTAACTAACGGATCATTGTTTTATTTTTTGGACGATTTCTTAAATGCAGCGTTTTGTAAGGTTGGAATTTTGGTGGAAGTTTTTGAAAATGGGAGTTTTATTTCGTTCATTCGTGAAGGAGATGTTTACACATTTGTTGCGTGCAACTAGGAATCTTAATTTTTTCTTTTATTGCAACTGTCGGAAAGTTCGTAATACTGCCAGGTTCAGTCGCGTGAGGGCTTTCGATTTGCGGAAACTGCTCACTACGTTGTCTTAAATTGTTAAATTACTGAGTATTGGGATCTCTGTATAAATCGTTTGTTTTGAACTGTCTCATTTTTTTCTCCGAATTAGGACTGGGAGGGGAGCGTAAACCCGTCACTTTCAGAGTTCTCCCGATCCAAGTTACGTTAATGTTTCTGCGTTAACGCAACGGACTGTTCCAACTGCTCTCGTTGATTACGTTAACTCATCAAGCATACGTGACTTCATTTAAGTCGTCGGGTCTACTTTACAAGATATTGATTGGAAATACGCGTGTTTTTCACTCATTTCTGCTTTCATTTTTGGTGTAAGGTATTCGATAATGTTTCTCTAAAGTCTTGTAATTTTATCCTGCTTTACTATTTGTATTTTAATTCTCCAAATTTTTTTGCAGTTTTAGAGTGACTTCATTGCTCGATATTTTCTAGTTATCTCACTGTGAAAACTGTTCTTTCGAGTTCATTTATCGTTGTATTGATAACCATTGCTCACATATCAGAGTACGTTGATAGGTATTGAAGATAGGTTTAAGTCACGAATTCGTAATGTCATTTTGTAATTAACTTCTCTGTGACTTAAACCATGATACGGGTCCTGCAAAGTATTCCAAGTAGCATAACGAGCTGCATGGTATGGACTGAATTTTATTAGTATTTCAAGATTATGGATTATAAAGTACTTATTTATGTCTTTATTCCGTTTATTTGTGATAGTGACGTGGAAATTACGAGTATGTGCCACTCAGCTGTTGTGCAAAGTGGCAGAATTTAAAGAATATTGGTTTAGTAACGGTGAGTTGATTAAGGCCATAATACTTTCGCATGATGTTGATTTGAAAGAGTTGCCTCCGTAAGTGTTAATAAATATCTAAGGTATACTGATAGCATCATTTTGTGATGTTTAATGTAGCCCATGTGAAGCATAAATGTTAAGGTGATGCGAATGCAGTTCTTGTGCCGATATCCATTACGTGGAGGTTGATTTACGCTATAGATTTAGTGTGTCCAATAGAGCTTCCAGTTTTGATTTATTCAGATCTGAGCTGAAGACCGATCAGCGTTCAATGTTGTATGCTAAGGGTTTTTTGTGACTACTTTTTTGATGTCAAGTGAATTATCAGTACGTGGTGGCAGAAATATCCTGTAGCAGCTTCGTCAGGTCTGAAAAGGAGAAATCAGTTAGTATTTCCAGAACACAACAAGAAATTTGCGACACATAGCATCATAGACGTTCAGTTGGAAATGTGGGTGACTATTTTCATTTCTCGGGATTTACCTCTTCCGAGCAGAGCTGATTTAGGTGGGTAACAACCACTTCCACCTACGTTGCTAATCTCTTTCTGTGGTAGACGCATACATCTCGTTGTTAGTGCAATTAGGCTTTTGACTGTTCCGACTGTTGACATGCTTCATATTGGATGTATAGATCTCTTCCTGTTCAAGAATATGAGGTGTTTATCGAAATCTGAACTGTGAAGTTAGCCATTATATTGCTTGTGTCACCTCTGTTAGAGGATGTCGTTCGAACGATACGAGCTTTGTTGACAATGCATAAAATTTCGATGTGCTTGAGGTGCCTACTGTTTTCAATTGCATAACAGAACACAGGATTTTAGACTACTGGCTGAGAATAAGAGCATCGGTCGTTTAATTGACGAGCGGTTCATATTCTATGCGGTGATGTGGTTCATTCACCATCGCACTGATTTTTCATAAATCGGTCCATCAAATTTATTAGGAGGTCCATTTTCTTCTGTAGGTCATTCAGATTGCCTGATGTCATCTATCCTCCACTATTGCTTCTATAAAAATTACACAAACAAAACGAATTTTTAACTGAATTAATCTACTATTGCATATTTGTGCAGGATAACATACAGGATATGAGTAGCGCTTTTTGTAGACAATTTACATTCATTACTATCAAAAACCTTTACAGTTAACACATCTTACATTCAATACACAATCCTTCCAATCTAGAATCTGCACCATCATTATTTCCTACCAGCATTATTTGAAGCAATCTAAGCGGAAATTTTCGTTGTACTGGCTGCTTCTAAAGCTTAGCTGTTTGAAACGCATGGCACCAGATTTTGAGTCTTCAATTCTTGCATGTGCTTTGTAGCACCCAACGCAAGGTCTCCATTTTTCGGAATATCTTCCAAATCCTGGTTAGCTGAAGCTGAAATTGTAAGCACACAGACGTGTTTGATGAATGCATAGGAGGTCTACTGAAAGACTCCAGAAAATCTTGATTAATGTTTTCAAAATGCATGTACACCAATGTTTGACTAGAGTAGGCAAAGTGCCTACAATTTCAGCTTCAGTTAGCCAAGACTTTGAAGATATTCCACAATCCCTAAGGATTGTGAATTGAATGTAAGACGTGTAAACTGTAAAGATTTTTGGTAGTAATGAATGTAAGCTGTGTATAAAAATGCTATTTGCAGAAGTTTTGGGTTGCAAAGATTCTCATCGGTACATAGGAGTGCAGAGGCGGATAGCAGAGTGGTAGTGATGTCCGTCATCACGAGCATGGTGCTAGTTCTATTTCGCACCGGGCCAATCAAGCCTCTCACCCCTCCGGCGTCGGAAAGTTGGTAACGGACTTGTACTGGAAAAAGATCACACTCTGAAATCCAATTGGGCACGCTCCAGCCCGGCCATCTCAGGACTCCAGGGAAATTTGCTCGACCAGCTACGACATTCAAGATTAAATGGAAATCTTCAAGAAGCAACCGAAGCCACACGTAAAAACTTGGAAGACCTTCGTGGACGATGTATGCGAGGAAACGAATTGCATGTGAGAAGTGCTGGGATGCGCACAGTAGACGTGAAGATGGATCAAAATAAAATAAAAAGTAAATAAATGTAGGGAGTGTTAGTTGTTAGGTTGTTGTAGAATAAAGCTATTTAAATGCGAAGTTTATAATGTCAAATGATGGTTATGAGAGTGAGTCCGAAGTAACAGACACAGTGTGGAACACAATAATTAATGCCTGTCTTTGTCACAATCACTTATTCTAGTGACGTCGACTGTGCAACTGTGATGCAATTCGCTTTCACAATTCTCATTTCTGACTCACCGTCTTTGTCTAGCGGAACAACCCTTATGAGTGTCGAACTCCAGTGTTGAAGTGCAATATAGAGATCTCTATTCACTCCTGAACGGCTACATTCTCTCTAGTGGCTGCTATCTTCACCAGAAACGGTCTCTTGTAGGCGGAGTGAACCCGTTAAGAAAACTTTTCTTGTGAAATACTACGAATACAAAATAGCTCTGCAGTTACGATGTCAAACATAGTGCTCTACATATATAATGCTGAGATATTTGCAAAACTCCGGACCGACTGCAGGTGTATGCGGTGGGGAACGAACGCGCTATTGTCCTTTTCTTCGAGTAACGCGTTCACCACCACACCATCCGAGTCCTTCGTTTTGCCTGTCTCTCAGCTAGTTCTATTGATCTTTTAGCATCAGCAATCACCCGTCAACGGGATTGATCTGGAGAGCCCAAATCGGCATTGAACCTAGTTAAGCTGAGGCTTAGTTATAATCACAATCTTAACCTTTTTATTTACTGCCTTTTTCTTTTTAATGGCAGGGTGTTTTTGCGAAATTTAACTCGTATATAATACCGAGATATTTGCAAAACTTCGGACCGCAGGTGTATGCGGTGGGGAACGAACGCGCTATTGTCCTTTCCTTCGAGTAACGCGTTCACCACCACACCATCCGAGTCCTTCGTTTTGCCTGTCTCTCAGCTAGTTCTATTGATCTTTTGCCATCAGCAATCACCCATCAACGTAAATCAAATCGCAAGTACCCTGCCGTTAAGAAGAATAGGTAGTAAATAAAAAGGTTAAGGTTTAGAACAGTTTGTCTGTAGTCTTAAGACAAGATTACAAATGTATTCCTGTTCATAAGTGCTCCTCAGAAAACAGAAGCTACATTGTATCGGCGTTTAGTTTTAACCGACAATCCTTCAAGATTAGATCGCCATCAATGGCGATATTGCGTGACTATCGAATACGAGAACGTGATTTATAACACTATTGCATGTGCTTGAATTCTCACCACTTAGTATGTGAAAAATTGAAATGTCTCTTGAAAAATCGCGCAATGCTTGTGTAAAAAGCACAGACAGGACAGTTTTTCCGTACAATGCATCCGCATAAACGTGTTGTTTCATTCTCTAATTGAAATCGTTCTCGAACTCATAGAACACGAAATGGTTACTGAATTGACAAGGTTTGCCAATTCAGTACCTTGTGACAATTTTAAAGAAGTCTTTCAGTCGTTCAGTCACTGCACGTTCATGGAAATAAGTGCAGCGTAGGTAATGAGACTTCAGCCACCGAGAAGGGTTCCCATTGCCTTCATGTCCAGAACAAAGCCTCATTTCTAGCCCTGCGACCATTATTCTCCGCAGATTTATCGATATTCGCTTTGTCATCTAATACACGACAAATGCACATAAGGTTTTGAAGCATTAAATAAACATTTGGTGTATGCAAAATTCGCTCAAGAGCAGTGTGATAAAGTAGGTCTCTATTTTCA